AAAATAGACAAGTTGATTGTATTACATTTGAACATCAACAGTGATTATATAAATAATGAAACATCTGTTAGAAAAAAATATATTTTTTAGTTTTTTAAAACTTCAGAAATCATGGATTCATCTTATTAATTTCTCGCCCATTCGATCCTTCATCTGCTATGTGAATGGAGATACAAAGAGTTACTTAAACAGTATAGAAATAAAGAAATTTTATAAACGTTATAATGTTAAACATATGAAGAAATTTACTTCAAATTTGTTTTATCTCGAATAAAAAATTGTGAACTAGAATTTTGTACTATTTATTTGATTGATTTCTTTTGAGCTTATCATATGCAAAGATGTAAGATAAATATGAGATATCACGCAACATTCCTAATCGAACAAAAGATTGTTATTATTATATAGAATTTTGTTTACAAAATACATGGCAACGTACAACTATTACTTATTTTCTGTTAATGTAAATACAGCAAATAATTAAAACGTATAACAGATAAATCAGTTATAAATTTATTTCCTATGAATTGGAGATATTCAATATTGGAATAAAAATAATTAACCAAAATAATCATCGTTAGTTGGGAAAAATTTATTCTATCAATTTAGATTTTTACTCTTGCAGAATTTATATGTGACAAGTGTGCATCAACATGACTGCTACTTGTCTTTCCTTAATATAAATATATCACGGTAATTGATGCCTAAAATATATAAAATATAAACTAATTTCACCAATACTTAATATCTATAAAAAAATCTTTTAAATCACTCTTACGGGATAAATATTGATATCATTGTAACTTGTACAGTAATGACAATTACATTAATAATAGTTCAAGGTTGTTTTATATATTTTATATCTAATTTAATTCTAATGAGGGCATTTCGATTACATATTATTATAATGCTCCCAGCGATTTAGTTTTAACTTAATGATGCTTGAGATGATTACTACTTAGTGATAAGAAATAAGTATCATTAATATTGAAGTGACTTCTGTTTACTGGTTGATCTTTCTTTCACGTTCAATTTGTTATGTCTTCTCGTTGCTCGTCTTGTTGCTACATCCCTTGGTTTAATTGATCTTGATTTTTTTGAAAAACCAATCAAGGGATACATTCACGATCATGTCCATCTCTTCTCTGTCAGTATCAAAGGAATAGGATAATAATTTGCGAAATGAAACTTGCAATATCTCGAATATATTGTCTTTTGGATAAGAGCTGCAGTCACAAATTATCCTCAGAATTATCCTCTTCAAAGCGTCTGGTTTGTAACACATCTGCAGTTATAGTTATTGAGTATAGAGACGAAGAGATCTTAAGACGTATGATTTATTAATAAGTTTTTAAAAATTTAAAAAACTTAAAAAATTTTTAAAAAGTTTCATTTAAAAATAATTATATTATAAATTAATCCTCACATATTTCGTTGGGGTTTGAATATCGTTGAAGGTCGAATGATTTGGTACATTGTTACGACGCAACACATTCCATGGATCTCTATGAATAAAGGTTAAATGTGATGATCTTGATTCATCCGTTTTACATTTTATATGCCATGATATATTTATATAAATAATTAATAAGTGTCAATTGATAGATTGATAAATCGATAGTCTAATATTGACTTTCAATTCATATCAGTATCATTCAGTTCATTCAGAGCATCAATCAAAGTTTCACTCATTGACAGTTAGAAAGTCAGGATGATTTAACATCGCATATATCACTGATCATAATAAAATTAATAGATAGTTTCAATATAAAGTTATAAATAAAACTACAAAGCAAACGATTCAAATATTCGAAATATTCGAAAAACTCATTGAATCATGGTGGAATTCATTGAATCAGTATAGATGAAATTTTATATGATAAAAGTAATTTTTTTCGCAAATATTTCAGAAATTAAAGTCGATCACTGATTATATATAGAAAAAATTATTAAAAATACAAATATTGTTTTCTATAATTTATATTCAAAATCATTAAAATTCGAGAAGGGATAATTTTTTTTTGTAACTTTTTTATCAAACATATTTTTGAAGATTATTGAACGTGTAAATTTCGATCAGTTCAAACACTTTATATTCTAGACAGACAACAAAATGTTTTGGCTGCAGTAGTGCATTAAAATTATTAATATACAAAATTATCTCAACTTTAAATTAATCTAAATCTAATTTGTATTATACATGTTTTATTTAATTAATTTTTATATTCAATAAATTCATATTAAAAAAGTATATAATTATTAGTTTAAAATTCATTATTATTACATTTCATTTTAACAATTTGTCTTATATTTAAAAATATTATTATAATATTTTTAATAAATATTGGCATTTTGAAGATTTTTCATCTTTAAAATATGAAATATGTAATTATCATATATCAATACATATGTTATATAAATATGAAAATATTTTCAAATGATTTTAAATGACTTTTTATGAAAAGAATTTGCCTCTTTTGTTGTCAAATGAAAATTAATAATATAAATATTACATTATTTGAAAAAATTGATTTGAAATAGTAAATTTTTTAATTTATTAAAAATTATTTAAATTAAAGATGAAAAATAATAATTGCTAATTTTTGATTCTCATTTATATTATGATCTGTATATTTTAATTAATTAAAAATGTGTGATTAGAACATTTGATAAATTACGATTGCAAGAATGTTACATATAACTAAAGAGTAATAAAAGAAACAGAGCAAACAATTATAAAAAGTAATGATAAAGATAAAAAACACGATAAAAAACTTTATTTTATGTTTCTTCCATTGTTAAAATAAGATAGTAACTATAACTACTAAGTATATAAACCAAAAGAAAAATTTATGAAAGTATATATTCTATTAAACATTGAAAAAACTAGTGAATCAAGAAAAAAAAATATGATGAATTAAAATAAATATAAAACGTTGATGAAGTATCAAATAATCGAAATAATAATGCATTTATAAAGCAATATAAAGCAATAGTATTGAAATTCGATGTGTTTCGATAAATCTCATTGGATTTTATTAAACATAAAAAAGGATAATGAATGAAAAAAAAAGAAAATAAAGAGTTAAAATAAATACAATAAAACGTTGAGTAAATGCCCAAGATTAGAATCCATGTTGTATTATGAAGTAATGCTATTATTTAAGATTGAAATTCGATTCTAATGTCTTTCGCGTTGCTCTTGTATTTTGCTAAACATAGAAAAAACATAAAAAAAGATAATAAATGAAGAATAAAGAAGGAGATAAAGAAAGACAAAGAGTGATTTGTTAAAGAAATAAATAATATATTTAGATATGCCATGAATGTATATACAATTTTATTTGAAAAAAAGAATAAATAAATAAATAATAATTTAAAATAATGAATTTTATTTGAATTAGAATTAAACATATTTTATTTGAAAAGAAAATAAATTACTATTTGAAATAATGAATGAATAAATAAATGAATGAATTATTTATCTATTAAAAATATTTTATTTTCATAAGTAATTTTTTATTTTGATGAAAAAAATAAATTATTTTTAAATTATTTTTTATTTTAGTTAATTCAAATAAACAAATAATTTGATATAAAAAATTATAATGACATTAACTATTATTTCATATAAATAAATTAATTTTTATTAGAATATTATGAAACTTTGAATTGAAACTTTTATAATGTAATTATATTTACTCTTAAAATAATTCACAAGAAAGACGTTCATATTCTTGTTTTGATACAATGACTGTATCAAATGAAAACAATTTCTCTACAAAAAGAAATAATATAATAAAATTAAGGAATATTTGATAATAATATTATAATAATATTAAAATTATTAATATTAATATAAAAATTATTATAATAATATTAATAATTATTTAAAATTATTTGAACAAAGAACAAAGATTATTTCACTTAAAAACTAAATAATGAAATAATCTAAAAAAATAAATCATTTCATTAAATTAACATATGTGTTAGGGGAAACAATAGATAAATTATACTTATAGAATCAACATCATATAATATCCAAAAGTTAATTTATCATATCATATCAGTGGATTTTCTCATAAAGTAAATTCTCATTCTTTCTCACATTACTGAGATGATTCTTTATCTTTCTAAGTATCTTTCTTAGTACCAATGTAATGTATCCAATGTAATATTCAAAAGTGAATCATTATCGTTATCTTAACAATATGATTATTTTAAATAATACTCAGTTAAAAATAAAATATATTATTTTTATCATTTTTATGATTATCTAGAAAAAAAGCTTTTTTATTGATTTCGATGATTTTTATAATATATCGTAAAAATCAATATTTTGAACAAGAATTAAAATTCAATTTTTATGCATACACTTACTTTTAATCGTCTGCACTTCAAGCCTATTTCGCTCGGTCCAACCAGCAACTCCGATTCGGACCCGCGCATTCGATGCGTTCAGTGGAATTTTTTACAGCCATATTAACGCATAAAACTTTTATATTTTAATATTTTATATATTTTTACATATAAAAAAAATTTATTGAATATTAAAATCTATATTGTTGTTTTATATGATATTTTATGAAACAATTACCAACTCTTACCAACAATTACTGCATCCTCGTTTGTGAGGCAAGTAGAGTAATAGTATTTTTGCTTCTAACTTTTTTATTGCATAATTACTAGTTTCGCGCACTATTTCATTAATAAATTCATCAGTGAAAAATAGTTTAAAAAAATCTAATAGTTTATATTCGAAATATTTGCAATCCTGCAGATTTTTCGCCGAGTACAAATTGTATTCTTCGCGATATATTTTCCGATTCTGTACATGTTATCCATTTGGAATTTTCTGTATCTTCTACAATCTCACTTGAATTATTGCTTTCATATTCACTATCCATTATTTTTATTTTTCGCTTTCTTATATCTCTTATTTCATCTTTATCATTGCTTTCTATATCGTTAATTTCTTAATGAATAGAAGTAATTTCGTCATTCAATAACGAAAAATCAAACTCATCTTGAACTAATTTCATTACCGTATTCTATGCTTACAAATCTCAAAAATTTTGAAAATAATATTTCTATTGCTATGACTATCAAACTTGGGCAACGTCGAGGATGTCGTTCGAGCCGCGATCATGATCTAATTTGAGATAAAAATCTAGCCATTTAATAATTTATATATAATAATTATTATATATATTATATATATAATAATTATATAATAATTCAATAATATATTATTCTATATCTCATGAGATTATAAAAGAGTTTAGGAACTTATTTATGGAGCGATATTCTAAAAAAATCAAATATAAATAAATATTGTCGCCGTTCAAATTGCCGCATTAATTTAAATGGTCCCGGAGAATTACCATTAGAGTATAATTTTCAAGATAGATATTTGTAAAAATTTTTTGGATTTGTGAAATGAGAAAAGAAAATATAAAACAAAATGACCGAAATTATAATGATAGATATCAAATATGATAGATATCAATAATATCCATTCTTTAGTCAGCTGATATATAAATAACAAAGTTTTGTCTCTATCTCAAAAATGAAAACAATTATCGAAATGAAACAAAGGAAAAATGAAAGAATGATTTTTTTTCTGTAAGGTAATAAAGCCATATTTATTTTTGAACATAAACACCATTAACTTCGAAATCTTTTTTCCCATGCGTGATAAGTTTTTTCATCTCAAAAAATTCTGTCGACCTACTTTTGATAAAGAAAGTCATTGCTACTTTGACTTCATCGTCCAACTGAAAATGAATATCCTTGAATGTTCTTTTCAATTTGAAAGAAGTGAAAATCTGAAAGAGTCAGATTTGGACTGCAAAGTAGATATGATATGATTTCAAATTTTAAATTCGCAAGAGCATCACGAGTTCTGCACATGGCGTTCGACCGTTTTGCATTGTTATTCAGATCGCATACATTTCAAATCTCGCTCGAAACTGTATAAAACAAACTATCTATATTCGATATATTTCTAAAGAAAAGATGCAGTTATAAAAATATTCGTGCAAAGTTATATCTTATTATAAGTTATATCTTATATATAGATGAGAGTTCATTACAGACTTTGATATTTTAAATTCATTATAAACTATGAAAAAATAGCTTTTTGATCATAAAATAATATATATGTGATGATTGCAATGGACTTGTATATACAAGAGAAATTCTATATAGTAATGGCAATTTTTTTTTTTTTTGTAAATATCTTTAAAATTAAGATCGAGCAACATGCATAGGAAAAAAATTATTAAAATCGACAAGAAAGTTTCTTCTTTTTTTTTTTTTTTAGATATCATCATTTTACAAATGTTTTATTTCAAAAAACAATCGAGTTACAACAGTTGCAATAATTTTGTTTCCTTTCGCTTCGATGTAAATCGATTCACAATTCATAATCGTATGAAATTTAATGGCAGGAATAAATAATCGATGCTCTGCGTTGGGATGTAATTTGCATTAAATGCTGTGGTTGATTGTTTGAAAATAACTTACAAACAATGGAATAAGCACGTTTTGAAATCATCGCGTGACGAGATATGGACATGAAATCAGGACGTGGAATACTGTTCGAAATTTATTATTGATCGACTATCGGGTGTCAACATTTGACCAATATTTGCACGATATCTAATAAACATTGATTAATCACTGTTGTATTTGACTAATAATTAAAATCGGTCTCGTGTGTCGGAGAGAGAAAGAAATATGCGCGTTAATTGTTTTTATATATCTAAATTCAGTTCTCGATCTGCTTTCAATATACAGGGTGTTTTATTTGAATAGATCTAATACAATCTCGAAAAATTATATAATAATTTTTATGAATTATGTAAAATATATAAGAAATATGCAAAATAATATAATAATATTAGGATCTAATAGATCTCGATTATTCAAAATCATTAAAATTTTCAATTATCTGCTATCTTCTGTTTATTTATATCAAATTTATATTTTCTTTTCGAATTTCTATTTCTCTAATTACTTTTTTTTCGTTAAATTTCTATCTATCAGTTATTCACTATTTTTTTAGGTTGATTGTTGTTTAAGACTGAAATGTTAAATAATTATTATAAATAATATATTATATTAAGTTTAATTATAAATAATAATATTTAAAATATAAAAATAGAAAAAAATTGTATAAATTTGGCCTACTTCGTGATTCGATTACTTCATAATTCTCGATTCATTCGAGTTAATTATTGTTCGTTTATGATTAATTGAAATTATATTGTATGTCTATTTATAATTCTAAAATGAAAAAATAAATATCTATAATCTCGTTATATAAATATTTGCTAACAATATTGAAAAATATTTATAGAAAAATTGAATGATTTAAAAAAAGACAAATATTTAACACAATTTGACAATTATTTTTGATTTGATATTTTTGATTAGCAATCATCGATAATATTAATTAAATTAATATCTAAAAATTAGATAAATTTAAATTATCTGATATTATCATTATTGACTTAGTTATCTTTATTTCATGATTCATATTTTTTTTTAAATCGAGCTATAAAAAATATTTAAAAAAATATTTATTTCAGTTTCATTTTTTTTTTAAACAAAATCACATCTTTCTTAATATATAAAATGCTACTAGCTATTCTTTATAAAGAAAACTATTAAGAGATTATTAATTATTATTAGTTTAGAAAATATCTTAGTTTTAATTTTATAAAATTTACTACATAAAAGACAAGAAATATGTGAAACACTATTTTTTAAATTTTGAGAGAGCATTTCGAAAATAAAATTTAATTAGAATATCTCCTAAATTTTAATGATGATTTGATATATGATATTTGATACATATAAATGATCTTTATATAAAATAACCAGATTGATTTAAATATTTAAAAAATTATGATTCTATGTAAAAAGAAAATATTAAAATATACCTTCATTTCTATGTCTGATTTCTATGCTTGAATCTGAATAGATAAAATCTCTTTGAATAATTTAATCTATATTCAAAATATTTTTCAATATTATCAATATTCTGAGATATGCAAATGAATCGATTTAAACGGAACATTCTGTATTCATCATCGAAATATCATCGAATCAAATCAATGTTCTGTTTCGGCTAACTATATTCGGTTTACCATTAATTACCGTGAAATTATTAATTTCCCGCGATACACGATAATAAATTGCTTCTATCCCTCGAATTTTTCGTTCGTTGTTTTAATTTTTTGCTTTAATAAACAAAATTACAGACAAAATAAAATAAAATTAGACATAAAGAATGTAAGCGAAAGAAAACTTTTCGATCACAATCTCTTTTCGTCGGTGTTAAACTGCGAATGTTAAACTGTCTCGAAACTTGGAGAAAAAAGATGTAAGTATTGGACAAGAGTTACATTGTGCATTATTAAACCAATCCACGTAGAGTAATATCTCGTACGAGTTATCGATGTACATCCTTCCTTCGACTCGAAGAAGTCTCGAGTGAAGCCTCAAAGCCGATTATTCACGCTATCTATAACCATTTCAAGTTAGCGAAAAAAATGTTCGAAACAGGATATAAAATTCCATTGTGCGTATTATTCTATTGTTTCGATTAATTTATATTTTTATCCATTTGCATATATGTCAATTAAACAATTAAATATTGTTATATTATCTAATATTTGTAGAATTTGTGTATGTGGAAAATAGTTTTTTAATTTTTTTTGTTAATGTATGTTGTAATGTTGTGTAAGATTCTTCTGAATGAAGAAGTTCATGAAATACAGAAATATTTAATTGTCACTTTTCTTTTTTAGTTGTTTCTTTTTGGTTTTAATTCCGTGAAATCATTCTCATTAATTTATAGAATTAAAATCTCTGATTTTGAAACACTTATATGCATTTAAAAATTTAAAATTTTTATGACAAGCGTTTCAGATGCTTGATATTTGCTATTCCGTTTGCTTTTGCTTAATCGAAGTCGTTTAGGTAACAATCAATGAAAAATGCAATTATATAATAATAAATCTACTCTTATGTAAATAATTATATAAGAGCAATATTTTTTAATTATTTTATTTTAATTTATTATTATGAACTAATAAAAAATTTTCATTGTATTGAATATAAAGAATGATGAAACTTTTGTTTTTTCCATTTTTTTCTAAAATGTATCATTGTTAAAAAAATGCTGAAAAATAATAGCGTGAACACTATCTTTGTATAAATAAATGTTTTTATTATGCAATGTTTTTATTATGTATATGTGTGAAATGTAATTTATAACATATATATCATACTATATGTAATTCTGAAATTTATGAAAAAAAAATTTCATGTGAAAATTCATATTATTGAAATCTGTTGAAAAATCAATGTAGGATTGAAAAAAAGAAAAAATTAAAACTTCATAGCTCTTGTAATGTCAATTAATTTTACCCAAATTATTATATTATATATTTTTATATATAAAATTTTATAATTTTTAATTAATAATTTTTAGAAATAATTTTTTTTATTATTAGAAAATAATGGTATAATTTTAATTTTGGTTCCATTCAATCTGATAAATAACCTTTTTATATATATTTAAAATAATAATAAAGTCTTATTCAATACTGTGATCCAATATTTTTAGAATTATAATTTATAGAATTATAATTTTAATTATAATTTTAATTGTTTAGAAGTTTTAAAACATTGAAATAATTATATTTAATTTTAAATAAAAAATTATCATTATCATAATTAAGATTAAGAATTTTCATACAAAATCGATGTCATATGAAAATAGTGATATAAAATCATTCAAAATATCATTTGAAATCATTCGAAATAATTTGAAATTTTAAAATCATGTAAAATCGATTAATCATTTTTTTTGATTTCTTTTGATCAATCTTTTATTTGTTTATAATAAACAATTGATGCTAATCGATATTATAAAAATTTAATATTAACACTTATATTAATATTTATAAATAAAAAAAAAGTATTTAAATCGTATTTAAAGATAAGTTAAACAGAATAAATATTACAAACTCATATATATGATATTCGATAAAATAGTTAAAAATACAATTTATTATTTCCAATCTATTCTACTTC